ATTTAAATTTTTCAACACTTAAACCTACCTACACATTTTTAATCTCATTTTTTAAATCTAAGCAAATAAAGAATGAGCGTGTAACATGACCGTTTACTAATTTGATAAACGATCTAGCCTATTATACATGATTAATGAGTTAACTCTGAATTTTAATCGTAATATTTACAATTTAGTTGTATAACATTATAAACTTGAGATAGCTATTTGTCTCCTTTGATAAAGGGAACGACGCCGCGTCGTTTCGATTATCATTAAATGATGTACCTCCAATGATTTTGCTAATTTTAACTATTAGACAATTGACAGGTTAAAATATTTATTTGTGCCAAAGATGTAAAATAGAAAGATACGATAGAGGGGTGAACTCTATTCTTTCGGAATAAACATTGAATTGACGAACACTTGTAACAACTTTATTGATTAATATCATTAAACAGAGATACCGACAAACAAACGGTGTAAGACGTACAATGTTACTCAGTTTATAGAAGCGAATATTCTCATTTAATCGCCACATATCTACCTTTTTTACATATCGTCGGGGATAGTGCAATTACTCTTGACTAGCATTGGGTTATGAGTTTCCATTTCGCTAATTTAAAATTTTAAAAATTTAAAATTAGCATGATATACGGGGATCTTTTGTTATCAGTCCGTAGACAACATAAATTGATAAGTATTGTGTAAAAATGAAAGTCGGCGCCATTAAACTAACAAAATAACAACGTTAAATTTCTCCTGTAAATTTGGTTTAGTGCAGATACGTGCCTTTTACCAATACAACATACGCGGATTTGCACTATCCCCGACGATACGAATAGGTACTCGTTGGTAGAACAAGACTGACACGAGCAAGCTCAAGATGTGAAGGGCTAAAACATAAGAAAAGTTGTTACTCTACATATTGATAGCTAGCCGGAAAAGGGACTGTTCAGCCTGTATATGAATAAAGAAGCTGTTGTGTGCTGTGTGTGTAAAAAAACACAAAGGTAAGAGCATATGCATACTAGCAGTAGAGCTCCATATGAAAGTGTTCGTCCAAGAAAATACTGTCATCACACCCATTTCCGCGCCAAGCATGTGAGTAATACTGCATTCCGGATTTGAAGGGTATAAGTGCTGATGAAATTACAAGTACGTGGAACTTGTCAACTTATGTCTCAAGGTGATAGGCGCAGTGGCTGTGTTCCTCAGATCTATGCGATTAAAGCTCTGAGTGACACTCCAACTGCTCTAATCATCCGGTGTATATAAAATGAAAGATGATCCGATATATATAAAATTAAATGTATTTTACAGTCCCAAGGAATCGTTAATATTTCAAATATAATATACGCACTATATTTAAAAAATATATATTACATTAACTACAGGCAGCTTTAAATGAACAAATCGTATCGTCAATAACAAAGTAATTTGGAACGTAAAATATTGAAAAACAGAGAAAATAAAATATAAAAATAACATAAAAAATAAATAACGTACGAAATGATGATCTATATATAGCTGGTACTACGTTAATTATTTTCTTTAAATCAATTTCACCACATTCCCATAAATTACTTTTCGTATACGCCACGTAGAGGGTGCGCAATAATATTTTTACTGTACTGTATCATCCCACACGTCTCACTGAATAACAAATTGTGCAGTTACATATAATATGCCAAATTTTCAAGTCGTTAAGGATTAGAAGATTTTGAGAAAAATAATCGTGAAGTACACAAGCAAGTTGAAAATCTTAAAAATAACATTGCATGTCTAGTACTTTTTATAATAACTACTGTAAAGCCAATTTATTTTCTTTAATGAAGTACATCGGAGCGAAGTTTATTATGTTGTTTGTTACGATTTACGACACGTGTAGTGTACAGTTCGTTCAGTATTTGTTTTGACAGCACAGCACTTTTTTTCTTTAGTCATTTGCTGTAACAAAAATAATCTTCAAATGTTTCCACAAGCGATTATACTCGTATGATTTCTCACGTAACATAAACTTGTACTAACCATAAACAATCGTAATCGGGATCGGATTGAGGGTTACATAGTTACGCTGCAGAATGTGCTATTAAACGAATAAGGAAACTGAGGTAAGTACAAATTATTAAGGGAAATAAACTATATAATAATAAAAATTTACACTCGAAGACGATAAAAAACGCTGACGTATACTAAAAAGTGTAAAATAATAATGAAGCCTTGAATTTGATATTTGTAGGATATCAGTAAGTCAACTGATATTCTACAAATGCTTTAGAAATAATTCTTTGTTATTGTACGTTTTGTTTGTTGATCACGAGGATCGTATTCAACTCATAACCACAATTCTTTACTAAATTGTTAAAAATCGTATGTGTAGTAGAGGGCAAAAGTATTTACTTGAAAAATATTTTTTATGTTCTACTTCTTTTTTATATCATAATTTGCCTGGTGAATTAAATTTAATTAATTATTACAGTTGCTTTTAAATTTGGTAGCTTTCACGTTGAAATCCATTAAACTTAATTTTTTTTATCCATAAGCTACTGCGTAATTGTACAGCTAACATCATGTTGAAAAACAAACTAGCCTATGACGAGCGAACAACCGATACGACCCCAACGGTTAAGTAATTTAGGTTCTGTAAGGAACAGGCGATCTCACATACATAAGCTGTGAAAATCTCGCTTTCGCCGTAGTTGGGTAATAAAAGCACGTCGTCATCATGAGATGCAGGGTACGTCAAACTGCGAAGTTCGACATAGTCGCTCGCGCATATTACACGGACGAGTGAATTTCGAGTTAACGCGAGATAAGGCGGGGGCGCCTCCTAAACGTGGCCTCACTCGCTCACAAAGCGGTGAATTACAAACAAACACCACATCGACTTACTCGTTATCTGACGGATTAAACGGCGGCGCGATACCGAAGTTCAATAGCACACGTACAAATATAGAAAAAATATATATATATGTATATATAAATAAAAATAAAATTACGGCCCACACGGTGGCCTCACGGCCGGTAAGATCAATGGCCGCGTTTTTTGCTTGCGGCGCGCCCGCGACACGCTCTGCCCCTCCGGTAACGGGCGTGAGCGTTGTTTACGCGCGGTCTAGTCGTCGTCGTGGGCCTCGTATTGGACAGCCCTTAACTCATCTAAGAACTACTGAGGTAGATGAACAATCGCCAATGCTTCCCAGTGTCATTGAAATATGTTTATTAGTTTGCATTCCGTATTGCTTGTTCTAGCCTCAAACTACAAATAGCAATTAGGTATATTTGTTTACTTACTTTCTACTAAATCATAGCTCCAATAGGTACGATAAGTGCGCAATGGTCGTTTTTACTCGAATTTCTTCAAAGAGAAAGGAGGAAAATGACAATAATAAAACAACGTAAACTTCATACTGGCTAGAAGTAAAACCTAAATAAACATTGCAAAAGTAAGATAAATAAACCTTATATGTGTGTGAGCATAATACTTGCATTTCCATTGACTGCATATGTACAGTGATAACTAAAAGAAACACAAAAAAGTCGATGAATACGTACTAGTTTTACATAATTGGCTTTATAACATCGATCAAAGTAATGAGCAACACGGTGGGGAAACGAGAGGAGCAGAGGAGACAGACCAAAGATGTGACAGTAATGGATGAGCTGCTGACTGACGAGCCATAGGCTCCAATTCCACAATAGAAATGAACTATTAACACGTGACACGCGGTCTGTTAATCGGTGGGGACGAAAATAATATCAATTGACCAATGTTTGCGTTACACATGTAAGCTTTTAAGGCCGCTAACCCGCACAATTAACGAGGTATGAAGTGCTACAGCTCTTCTGATAGAGTGTTGTTCCAAAAGAACTACTCTAAATGTCGTAAAAATGTACTTGGTAAAAAAGAGTAGACCATTGAACAGCAAATTCGTGTAGATACCACCAGTGGTTACATAATGAAAGATGTCATGAAAGGCAAACTGTCAGAGGATTGTTTAGAGGTGAGCAGGATTTGATTGCCTTTTATAAAATTATTTCGATAATTCCGCAGGAAGGTTATAAAATGTTTACCTTACAAAATTCAAGAGTTCATACTTAATTTAGGACAATAATGAGAAGATATTATGGACTAAAGTCTGTTCCAATCCAATTTCAACAAAAAGTAAATAAAAATTTAGTTACAGTTAAAATTCTAAAGAAATCACTGAATAAATCGAATAAGTAACACTTTCACGTATATTTTGAAGATTTCGACTTGATATCTCATCACTATTTCCAACAATATTTATTTGAATAGCACAGTAAAATTGTATTTGAAAAATGGTAGTCCAAAAGTGAGGTTATTTTTTATCTATACGTCTATGACTTGTCTATGGTTGCATAGTGCTGTACGAAAAAAACATTCGGTTCATTCAATTAAAGTTTTTGTAATCGATCAGTAAATCGAATATTTCAATTGCAATCAAACGAGTATCGAGAGTATCTAAGTGTAAGGTTTTGAAGGAGGATTTAAAATTAAGATTTAGGAAATTTTAAATATGTTTATATAGGTTATGTAGGGAAAACCGGTAGTATGACTCAATTGAACAAATCGATTCATAGGAAATGAAACTATTTTTCCGGATTTAAATCGCGTATATTTGTTTTTTCAAACAAACCGACTTTTCGGGCCCTTTACAAGTCCCATGGTCACGGTTGACTCGTCGTCGGTTGATCGGTCGAAACGTCGGTTTGTTTGAAAAAACAAATATACGCGATTTAAATCCGGAAAAATAGTTTCATTTCCTATGTGTAACAATCGCGAAAACGTAAGAACTCGACCAATCGATTCATTCAATTAGTTAATCGATTTGTAGTTGGCATTACAATTGGCCATCACTAAACCGGACAGGAATCCCTATGTATCAGATTAATCAACTATAATTTGTCATCCAAGCGTGTGTTTTTTGGCTACAACTCCTGCATTTGAGAAAGTGGTCTAGTGGTGGTTGTTCGAAATAAGTGTAAGTACTTACTTCCCGGTGCGACTTCGAGGACGCTTGCAGCGTGCGCGCAGGCGAGCAGCAGCGCACACGCCGCCGCCGCCCGCGCGAACCCGTGACACGCATGCGCGCGCATCACGCCGCGCCGCTGCGCCCGCACCCGCTGTACACACACACCATCTTCCGAGCTGCAAACAATACGACATATTTCACAAATATATAATAATAGTAAGCAAACAAAAATTCTATTTCAGAAGACCAGTCGTTATCACCACAAAGGATAACGTGCCCGCAGGATGAACCACAGTTAACAAATCAAGGATTTGTTACATAAATCACAATAAACCTAACACGTACAGTCTCCGCAGATTGAAAATGTTATGTTACAACAACAATAACGGGCCATTGATGAATATATATTTCATTGATGATGGAAGCGACGTGACTGCTCGCAGATCACAATGAGTAAGGCCGTGGTAATTAGCGTGGGAGCCCTCATGATTCCCACGGAGCGACCGTAACAGATAAATATTATTTAAGAAACACGTTAGTGGCGTATCAGAACCTAAACCTTATCTCGGTTTCGCGGTTTCGCACTCGGAGTGACGGTCGAGATTTGCATGTTAATGACGCCAATAGTACTCGCGATAATACCGATTGTTATCTTATCTACACCACTCGCAAACCTGTAGCGAGTCAATGTAACGTAAACAGTTCATTGACAATCATGTATAATCCCTGTTATTTCAAGGTAACGTCGTAACTGTAATGGAAAAAATCATTATATTTCCAAGATTATTTTGCGAATATGCACGGCGCCCATATTTTATCACATATTTTACAAAGTGCAAAAGGAAATTAAATAAGGAAAACAGCAAAATCTAATCCGAAGCTTCTAAAACATCTGAATTTTCGATTACAATATAAATTTATATTTCAATAAGTGTCTATGTGTGATGCTTCAAATAAGTCTACATGTTATAGATACAAGGAGTAACATACAGTGGTGAAAGCCACTAAAATATTCATTAATTACTTTTCTCGTTTTACTGTATTGTTAGATAAAACTACTCACTTAGAAAAGTAAAGTTTAAAGTAATTCTAGAGGTGCCATGTAAAAAATGCAGTATATAATTAGTCTTTCACCAAAGTAAATATTTTTACGAGTTTTGTAGCAAAAGCTTATTTTAACTAATGCGGATATCATTTATTATTATTATATATATAGTTATCTACGAGTTTCATCTAATTCGAAAATAGTAATTAATATTCGGAGGTTTTAACAACTCTATGTCCGTCCCTGTATCTATATATGTAGACATTTATCTACTCATTTGGAACACCCTACTCCGACCACTGATTATAACAAAATGGCACTAATCAATGACGCACTCTATCGCGGTAGACCAGTACACAATCTTTACATCTCATAGCTATTTTAGTGGCTTATCGAAAAAAATTTAAGTTTAATGAACACTTACAAAACCACTATATTATGTTATAAATACAACACAGATCAGAAACCAGTCTCATAAAAATTATAGTTACTAAAGTAAAGACCTAATTAGACTTGTTTCTTGAGGTAAAGGCATGTTATCCAATTAGCGATCAATTACACGGTAATGCAAAATAAAGGATTGCCTACGTAATAATACGTAATAAATGTACATTGAATTATTTACTTTATTACATTTTCATTAATGTGATTTTGCGGAATTTACCCGTATAAAGTAGTACGTACTACGTGAGGCGCACTATAAGTTTCCGGAATTAATAACAAAAAAATATTATAAATGGTCAGAAATGAATTTATTGTTTCTCAAAATATTCTCCGTTAGCATCAATGCACTTTTCCATACGAATGAACCAATTTTGAAAACATTTATGCTACTCATCCGTAGCAATCTCTGAAACATATTTTTCATACTCTTCGACAGCCTCTTCAAGTGATGAAAATCGTTGACCGCGTAACTGGTGCTTCATTTTTGGAAATAAATAAAAGTCACAAGGTGCCAGGACGGGACTGTACCCAGGATGGCTCATAAAGTCAACGTTGTTTACCTTCAAAAATTCATTTGTCTGTCTGGCCGTGTGAGAACTGACATTATCGTGGTGCAAGATGAGGCGTTTACGGTTATTTTTACGGAGTTTGTCAATAATTTCCGGCAAACAAATGGTCTACTAATAAACTACCAATCACGGTACAACGATTGTCCAAAGCAACAGTAGCCACGTGTCCAGTTTTATTAAAAAAAAGAAGCAATCATTCACTTAGAGGCACTTTGCACGCGCGCCACTTTGGTAGGTTTCGGCTCATCGCGAAAGACCCATACGCTCGATTGCTGCTTTGTTTTGGGATCGTAACTGTAAATCTATGTTTCGTCACCTGTTACTATGTCCCACACCAAATTTGACGCCCCTTCGTTGAATCTGGTAATCATGGCATTGCACCAAGTGACGTGATCCGTTTTTGAGCCTCAGTCAAAATGTGTGGGATCCACCGAGAGCACAGCTTTTTCACACCCAAATGTTTGTGTAGTATTGAGTATAGAGTGCATTTGACTCACGCCTATGCCTAAAGATGCCCGAATCTCATGGTATACCACATGCTTGTCTGTTTTGATCATACGGCGCACAGCATCGATGTTTTTGTTGTTCACAGCAGTGGACGGGCGACCATCATTTTCGAAATCAAAGACAAAATTCATCACTGTGATTCATATAGTATATATATACTTTGAATTCTGCAAACCAGCTATAAATAGTCGTCTTGCATCGTGCTTCATCGCCAAAAATAGTTTGAAGCCGAGCGAAGCTCCGCTGGGCTGTTAAATAACATTTAGGGTCGTATTCCAGAACTCTACTCAATGCTCAAGTCAGGATTTGAGCAGACTTGAGTATGATTTCAAGCACTGGAAATACGACCCTAATGGCCAGGACTTGAGTATGATTTCTAGTGCTTTGAATCATACTCAAGTCCTGACTTGAGCATTGAGTAGAATTCTAGAATACGACACTTAAAGTCGTAGAAAATCATACTACGAAAATTTTCACGAGTTAAATCTATGGTGAAGTAGACAACCAATTTCTAAAATGACGCCACAATGTAAAAACAAGTGACAGTCGGACGAAACAAACTAACTGTATTCTACAGCCAAAGAGTTCCATTTTCAAATGTTGTAATTACTTTTTAAATATTGTTTATGTAAGTGACCAGTTCCGGAAACTTTTAGTGCGCCCTGTGTACATGTGTGTGATTAATACGATTTTGGCATTCATAATGCAGACTCTAATTTTAGTTATGTAGACAATTATAGATTTACATTAAATGGTCAGTCACTCTATGCATGTGAATTGGATTTTATCTACTGTAAAGGTGGCCAACTTGTCGTAAAGCAGTTGCAGTGCCACTCAGAGCTTTAATTCGCAAATATCTGACGCGCACTGCCACTACGCGTCACCCTGAAACATAAGTTGACTAGTCCCATATGCCTGTAATTTCACCTACACCCTTACCATTCGAAACTGGTATGCAGTAATGCTCACATTACTGCTTGGCGGTAGAAATAGGTAACACAAGGAGCACTACTGCTAGTTTAGTATTAAAGATAATGAAGATAGCTAGTATACGTACGCAAGAAGCCACTTTGCAACATGTTGTAGTAAAGCATTTTAAGATGTATAGTCAAAATGCTGAATATCAATTCTTTGAAAAGGTAACGCATCACTTTTAAACTCAGTATTGTACAAATGCAACACTGGGCACACACTTTGTGACTATAAATAAGGACACACACTTTGCGACTATCGCAAATACTGTCAATGTATATTTGTTACTAGAGAGAATCATGCATATTAGCTAAAATAACCCATTTACTATAGAAACATGCAGCATACAATTGAAGTCCATGAGACGATACATGCCGGTCGCGATGTGAATGACCTGCTTTAAGGTGAACGTCCACCGGCCCATGAGACAAAATCAGAAAACTGTAGTTATGGTAAAAATGAAACTCTCGTCGTCACCGACGATATCTAGATAAGCCATAGTCTCGCGTCTAGGGTACATAGTGTACATACTTATATCGGTAGACTGCAATGTGCATTGGGAGGTGCGCGAGATATTATACCGATACTAAAAGTATCGTGGTGTAAAACACCATCCTTAAATTTCCTGAAACTAAATTTCTTCAATGGACGTTACTAAGCCCTGTTTCTGTTCTTTGTCGCGTCTCGAGGGCTTTTAAAAAAAAGGTGTACGATCATCCTTAGTCGGTGCGGCTCAATGTTGCCATTGCAATGGCTATTACCGCGTTCTATGGCAATTGAGTTAAATTAACAAAAAAATTACGGCCTACGGAAGGGAAACCACTACGCTAGCTGGTGGAATCTTCGGCAATTTTCAGTAAATATTTTTATGCAGGTAAGGCCAAAACTTAATAGAAATTCGTTAAGATTTGCGAGTGTATCATAACAAGGTTTTTTTGCTTGAAGAAATCTCAATTTTCTTTATTATTTCGTTTTGTCTTTTAATATTAGATATAGTTGGCGAATTTTTCCATTTTAACAATGTAAAGGTTCATAAATATGGATACAGAATTTTATGAAGGCCCAAGTACACCTAAAACAGAAAGATTGGGATAAAAATAAGCTTTGCACGGCACTGAAAGCTTGATTTCTGCAAACAAACACGGACAATTTAGCTTCCGAACAAGGAAATCGATTCAGCGTTGACTATATTGCGACGACTTATTAAATACAGTATGCTGTGCGGACACTACGTTACTGTGACAGTGGCGCCAACCTGACGGTATAATATACCTAAATGCTTGCTACGTACTATCTCACACTTGCATCTTTATTCATACTGCAACAAGTGTTATGACAGTTTTATATTAATTAGGAATCGTCTAAGACGAAGATGTGTAGGAATAATTATATGAATTTTAAATGAGGGTCGTCTCAGCAATTATCTATTTCACTCACTATCGATTTCATTGAAGTTGCGCTTCAGTGTCACTCGTCGACTCAACTCAATATTGCGTGAATGAAAAGATTCATTCACGCAATATTGAATGTTTGTATCGAAAACTGTATCCGACAAATGTCCAATTATCAAATCAGGACATAGTTTATCGGTAACTGACACAAACTGTGCACACAAATAGGTACTTTTTGAGAAAAGTCC